TCACTAAACTCTCAGCTGTTTTTTTTTTTGGTATTACAAGGTCTCAATTATTTCTCAAAGTTATAGAAAATAGTGTGAAAATAAGATGTATGCTGTGTCGTTTACTATGAAGATCACTGAAAAGTGCATGAAAGGACAAAATTCTATGTCACCATTGGCTAACGTTCACCTGGAATAGCCTGAAAAGATGGGATTTCTTCTTTTCCAGGTAAACACCCAGGCATGTTTATCACCTTGAGGTATTTTTTCGGAGGTGTGAGAGTGAGGTGTTGTGAATATGTCAGCGTGTGTAAAAAATTGGGATTGACAACAGGAAGCAGCTACATCCCATTTCCCTCCTCTCCTTAAACCTCCTGTGCTTTCTTCTTCCACATGACTGCAGCTTTCTGTTTGCTGTCTGATCTTTTAGCTTCTGCAGTGTGTTTTTTTTTTTTTTTCTCTCACAGTCGTTGTGGCCCTTCCTTCCTCTTCAGCTTCAGCTCCCTATTTCTCGTCTCCTTGTCTGTCTTTTTTATTGAATTTAGATCTTACCAAAAACTGACAGAAATATTTATTTTTCCTTTTCTTCCTTTCTGACCATCCTTTACCATCAATCGTGTTCTTTTGTTCTCTCGCCTCATTTCCTTCCTTCTTCGTTAGCATAAGACCGAGTAAAGCGTCTGTTAGGCTGTCAGGCAGCATTGGGGAAGGATGGGAAAAGTGTTCCTGTGTGGCGTCCATCACGGGGTTGGTGTATCCATCTCCTGATACAGCTGAATAATTAATTAAGACAAATTAAAGATGCATGAAAATTTAGATCCTGAATCACATGCGCCCTAATTTTGAGTGCATACTAACCAAGCTCAATAATGTCTATTCCAGGATTTTCTCAAATGGATATTTGCTACTTTTCTGGAGGCTGAACTTAAAGCAATACTCAGTCGTTGTGTCCTCTGTTTATTAAACCGAATAATGAGAACAAAACGTCAGCTTCAGGTTTTCTAATGAGACATCTCATTATGTACAGATCTAATTATTAAATCAAAGTAAATAGTTTTTGAAGTCATTAAACATAATGAGATGCATGTTTAGTGTAGGATGATTTAATGATATAATCTGCAGAAGCTGTTTGCTTATTTACGTCATTATGACTTTAGGACTCCTCCAACCATCATTTGCCATATGGTTTTTGAAGAGGGCAGTAGTCACCAGCCTTAAGAACTACAATCATTCACTAAAATGGTTAATTTGACTGGAGACTGTTCTGTGTAAACCTTATTATCTATGAAAGCTCATCTAGATTGCACAAAGAGGAGAGGAAACTACTCTTATCACTGGTTGTTCTGTTATTGTTTATCCCTTCTTTTCCTTGAGGCGGAGCAATTTTATTTGTAAAGTGGATTTTACACAGAAAGACAATTAAGACCAGTCCTGAGCTATACCATCCATCCATTCTCTTCCACTTATCCTTTTTCAGAGTCGCTGGGGGGCTGGAGCGCTGGCGAGAGGCAGGGTACACTCTAGACAGGTCACCAGTCTGCTGCAGGGCTAACACATAGACACAGACAACCATTCGCACTCACACCTATGGGCAATTTAGAGTTACCGATTAACCTATCCCCATTAACTGCATGTCTTTGGACTGTGGGAGGAAGCCAGACTGCCCAGAGAGAACATGCAAACTCCACACAGAAAGGCACCAGCCTGATGGTGAAATTGAACTCAGGACCTTCTTGCCATGAGGCAACAGTGCTACCCACCGTGTAGCACACACACGTGTGATATACGTCACACTAAAATTCACAAAATCTCTGTCAGTCCTAAATGATCAGGAGTTGAATCCAAACTTGACATACAGAATTCAGAATTCGTAGTCATCATGTGGGTCATGTGCCCTTCAACTAGCATACAGAGTTGTTGGGGTGAACGGAGAAAGACAGGAAAAAGACAAGCTGTGTAAACATAACATTAAAATTTGGATTCAAATTAATGCCGTCAGCATTAATCTTGTTAAAATGACGTTAATGCCATAACCGCATTAACGCGGATCGTCCCTAACGCGTTAACGAGCTAACCGCGCTAACGTGTTGAGGCCGCGTTAACTCGCTAACGGAGATTTGCCGTGTTAATGCAGTTATGGCATTAACGTCATTTTAATGAGATTAACGGTGAGAGCACTCATTTAAATATATCTAAAGACTTAAAGTCCTCTGGAGAATGTTGTTCTCTGCTGAACAGTTTATCTTCATGTTGGCTAAAACCAGATCCTCACATCTGTCTGTATGTTCAGTTTGTCCCCGGTCATCAAATCACCTAAATGTGTTGGGCTGGATTTTCCTCTTTTTCCTTTTGCAAAACTAAACATAATGAGATGCATCGTTGGGAATTAACAGTGTAGTGATGGTGAGATAAGACAGTTTACAACAAGACACACATGCTTAATGTTTTCTGTGTACATAAACACAAAGATTTTTATCTCGAGTAGTGTAGATAGTGTACAGTAGCAGGCCTCTTAATCAATGTACGCTCAACTTTATACAATTCGGTTAGTGAGCACTCGATAAAAATCATGCTATCTAAAGTTGTGAGCAATTACTAAGTGACTCCGAGCTCTAATCACAGTCGATCACATTTCATCGTGGAGAGAAGCCGTTTGATTCTGACATAATTTCCAGACTCGCTGATTATTTACTCACTGATGTTAAAGCACATTTATTGCTGGCCTACAGTTTGCTACCTTGACTAATTCTGGAGTCGTTTTCTTTTTATAATCTTTGCCTGAAGATAAGAAAAGTTATCTGTGCCAGGCTCGAAGCTATTTTTATCTCAGCTTGTCCCCATTTCAGGAAGTTGTGCGTGTTGTTGCTGTTTTGGATTCTGCATCGTATGATGGTTTAGCAACAGCGGATGTTTGACATTAATTTGACATGAAATAAGTGGCTTTGCTTGTTTCATGACCACAAATCCATTTAAATTGAAGTGGCACGGGTTATGTCTCCATTCCATGTCTGCAGGAATCCTCTGAACTTTTCTTTTGCTTCCTGAAGGTCAGATAGTTTAATAAGCTCTCCTCTCTGACATTGTTTAGACGGTAAACACTGGGATGTTTGTATGGATACAGTCAGAGACCAATAAAGGAAAAAGACCTTGGAAGCTGTAGACATTTGGATTGATGAGCATTAAATATTATATTCACATATTTTTGTAGATTTGGAAATGAGTAAAAGACAGATTTTTAGTTTGTATCAGGCAACAAGGGAAAACTTTTCAAAAGACCAAAGGACTGTGGGTCCTAAATTGTGGAACTTGCTCTCGTCCGACTTATGATGTGTTCAGACCTGCTTGTTGTTTAATACCATCTACTCAAGCTGTTATTATTTTTCAGCTAAAAAGCTAAAGCTTTGTCTCTTCTGCCCACAATAAGTTACTGTGTTTTATTATTTCAAGCACATTGCAAGAGTCCGACCGTGTCTTTTTTAAGCTAATGCTGAGACACAGAGTCACACTTACAGGATTAATCGATCAGATCAATCCTCGTCCAGAGAAATCTTGGCCACTGCGTTAACTTCAAAACTCTGCTGCACGTATTGGCAAGGACCAGAGAGGGAGGCCACATTACACCAATTGTAAGGTCTCTGCTGGTTTAAGGTTCCCAGTCACAAAGATATCGTTTAGTTATTGTGCTCCATGTTTATGGAGCAGTCTACCTGATGACCTGGTGGCTGCTCAGACTGTTGAGATTTTTAAAAGCAAACGCAAGACTTTCCTTTTTATTGTATTTTACTTTCATTCATTTACTGATATATTTTCATTGCATTTTTTTTGTTTACCTGTTTATTCATCTGTTATTATCTTTATGCCTTTATTCAGCTCTAAGTCAGTAGGATCAGCTTCTCTCTCATCTGACTTACGGTACATTTGAATAGTGCAGACAAATTTACCTCCTTTCTCTTTTTCCGAATCACTTTCAAATCAGTATCACAGTATGAAGGAAAGGTGAATCTGACTGTGCTTAAAAAAACAAATACAAATGCAACTACAGTGAAACCTAATCAAGTTCAAACTAACTTTGATGTAAGTAATTTAGGAACTGTGGGTTGATGTCAAAAGTCAAATCATACCTGCAGGTCATGGCATGAAATGCAAAAACACATTCATAACTAACATTGAATTAGCAGTTATGTTATTGTTTTTATGATTGGTTAAATTGCTATGAATGACCTCTTTTACTTGGATAAAGGATGGTCCAGTGTGTCCTCTCCTAAAGGAGGCAATAAAGGAAGCACTAGAGCACCTTTCCTCAGTATCTAGAGCAGCTCTTATTATGGCTGCCACACAGATACTTCTGGGTCACTTCACTCTTAGAGACATTTAGGGTCGGAAACTGTCCATCATTGGTTTTAGATAAGTTTATTGATATCCCTTGATGAGAAGCTTTTGTTCTGAAGCTTTTGCAGCTGACTAACAAGTTGTCATTGATTTCAGTAAGCTGTCTTCTCTTCTACCAGTTCCTACTCCCCTCACACACATATGGTGCCAACAGAGGAAGCTATTACAGAAACTAGTGCAACTATAATTGAATGCAAAATGCATCTGAGACTATTAAACTGCCCTGAAATTAAGACCAAGGCTGTCTGGGTCACACGCTGTCCCTTGAAATGACAGGAATTTGCCCTGCTGTGTTTGCAGTGCAAGTATCCAGCTGCTCTCTCACCCTCTACTCTCTCTGCTTTTGTGGTTGTATTGTTTATTTATCTGTGTCATCAACCCTCGGTGTCTGTTTTCAGAAAAGGGCGGTACAGCTGGTGGATGCGTGAGAGAGGCTTTTGAAGGCAGAATCTGTACCCACATGCATTAATAAACTTGTGTGCGCAAAAATGTCATCAGGACATGAATGTTTCTGAATGAAGGAGGTTTAGGAGATCTCTAATTTTCCCCACAGCCCTCCAAATATCTTATTTCATGAATCCTAGCTTCCAGCAAGAAGGAAAGGTTCACACCTCTTCCCCTTGTGCCCACAGAGAGGTCGCCCAGATTGACCAGTTCCTTCAGGAGACGGCGGCCCGTGAAGCAAACGCTAAGGTACGCTTGCAGCAGTTCATTGAGGAGCTTCTGGACCGAGCCGACCGGGCCGAAAAACAGCTGCAGATCATCAGCAGCTGTGGCACCACGCCGAACGGCAGCCTGGGACGCTGCAGCCTGCAGGCCTCGAAGGGCAACGGACGCCAGGTTAGGATTTTTGAATACACGTTGCTGTAGGTTCACACTATGAAACGTGTGATAGTTCCTGTCAAAAGAAAAAAATATATATAATGCTTATAATATATAACATATTTTGTGCCATACGTAACAACACCTGATGTACAAATTGGTTTTTAAATATTTAACTGCTACTTATCACACAGATTGTCGTTGGTTGATTTTCCGATGAACTTTTTCTATGTAATTTTGTAGCACATTTTAACTGGCATATTATTTTAACTGGCAAAAGTAAGTAACATTCTTAGTTTTATTGCAAATAAGTAATGTTTCATTAACATTTATTAGTGACTTTTTTCACTTCCAGAGACTCTTAAAGATTCCTTAAACTGCAGGAAACTCCACTTCCAGCATTCTGGCAGTCATTAACAGAGCAGCTTGTTGCTGATGAAAAGTACATAACCATAGATTGTATTGATTTATGCCTCTGTAATGCACCACAGCTCGAACCGGTAATAGACTTCAAGATGCCTGAGACAGCAAGTCTACTGTGTTTTACTGAACTGAAGGGTAGTCGCTGCCTGTTTTTCACATATGAGCAGTTGAAATTAAATAAGATATAATTCTGGATTAGTGATGCACCAAATTCTGATATTTTTATTTGGTTTGCTTATTCGGAGCAATTATTACATAAGAAACAAAACAAGACAAACCTCTGCCGGCACGTCACTCTCTGGGCAACAATGTTCCCTCTAATTTTTCATGTGTCTGAGCAAACACACAAACTCCCTGAGCGTCCCTTGGACCGCTGTGAGCGACAGCAGATGTGTGCACTGTGGTCACGCCAGCATCTAATCCATCCAAGTTACATGGTTTATTAAAATAATCAAATTACAGCATTTACATTTATGTTAGACTACTTTTAATTAACTGCTTTAGCCCACTTACAATGAAAATGTAAAAAAAATCTAGTCATTGACCTGTGCAGTATGTTAACACTATTGGAAGTACAAATAACTTGAACTCCAATTTTGAATACACAAGTTTCTTTCTTTTTAAAAAAAGCTCTGACTTGTATTATGAGTCTGTGGTCTGGGAGAGAGTCCTGTAGCTCTCTATAGTATATAATGACCAATGCTGGGCAATTAATTATATAGTTACTTCTTCAAAAAAGTAACTCAGTTTTTTGCAGCTATGTTTTTTTAACTACAGCCAAGGCATTTTTTAAAATAAACATTTCAAACTATTTCCAGAACAATCAGCTGTTCTGCATCAAATCTGATGCCACACAAACTGTGTTGTCTTCGTATAGCTTTGAATAATTACACAGTATCCACTTGTGTTTTGCGAGCGTCTGCTCCAAACATTTTTATTCTTTCATTCACAAGTCGGTCTTCTTTTATAGAGGCATTCATGAGCCCTCTCAAATACAGCGCCCCCTACTGGCAAAACCCCATTAGCACATGAACACCCACACATCACCACATCCCCTTTTCTCTGACAACATAGGTCCCACGAATCAACAAATACACATAATTGTTTTACATCAACATATTTTTTTTTCAACACCATCAGAATATAAGATAAAAACAAATCCAGTCGTAGCTTTACAGATTAAGCCTAACTGGTCTTTTGACCTTACGCTCTGACCTCCTCAATACAGGTTCTGAAACAACTGCACTTTTCTCCACATGCTCATGTCCATCCAGTGGTTTTAAACCAGACACTATCTCTGCATGTGACACATCAACATTTACATCTTCCTCACCATATTGTTCCTCCTGAAATATCTCTTTAGTCTTCAGCAAGTTACGACGGTTCCTTCTGAACACATGACCTTCTTCAGTTCTTACGTCATATGATCTCGGACCTGCTTCCTGAAGAACAATGGCTTTCCTGCTCCATGCATTCTGATCTTGGATTCTCACTACATCATCCTTTGCAAGCAA